TGTTTTTGAACTTTTTTAAATCTTTGCTATACACACAAGACCTCAAAGCTGTGTTTTACATGTGCCTTTATCACATGCAATGGTGTCATCCGGATCAGATGACTGCACATACTCACTGTCATGTTGAATGAAAGGTTTGGAAAGCACTTTTAAATAAACATCAAAATGTGATAAAGCTGTGCTGCATATTTGTTTTTAATGAATGTGAATGACAGGTTTTAAGAAGGGATCATTGAAAAACGTTTAGGTTCAGTGTAGAAAAGGAGTAACACCGCCCTCTTCAGGAAACATGACACCACACTCAAATGGAAATAAAGGCTTTAATTTCCAATTTTACTGAGACAATAATACATTTAGTTTTTCTGAAAGCTTTTTTCAAGAGGATGACTTTGTTAAGAGGCATCCACCATCCACAATTGCAAAAATATATCCCATTTCCCTTTCACCTTACTTTTGAGTTTTGCAGTGAAAAGAGTAGACAGACTTTGCAAAGAAAAGGAACAAATGCATACAAAGCAATAAATAAATTTGTTCTTCTATGGGTGGATCAATTGGAGCGATTTATAATTGACAAAACGTTTGATTTCACATTTCCATGGAGGCATTGTTTTTTTCCAGTACCAACAATAAGCACATCTGAATGAAATATGTGGAAACTGTTTCCTGGGCTGAAATCACAAGAAAAGGCCAAATGTACATGTGTGCAAATAACATTCGACATTAGATGCATTTTAATTAGTGTCCTGGAAAACATGTAAAATGTATTGATGCATCATGTCAAAGCTAACATACTTGACACATTTAACAAGGCATTTGATAACAACTTCTAAAAATGATGAACAAAGCACTTTGAACGGTGGCAACAGTGTGAAGCTACACATGTGTAAATACGCTGGCCCAAGTTTGTTTTTTCCCAGAAAACCAATCATATTTCAAGGCAGAGTGACTCTGCTTTCTGAATAAAAAGGCACCGTCAGTAGTTAGCTCCAGCAACAGTAAAAAACATCACAGTCAGCACTTGAGAAGCCCATTTCATGGAGGCTACATTTTCCCCAAAACACGTCAAGAGGAATGGTTCGATTATCTTCATTCATACTATGATCAGACTGATATGTTGCCCGCAGAGTGTTACCCATGATGCAATTAGTTTGACTGCAATCAATCAATATGATTTTAGTGGTAAACAGGCAGCCCTTAAATTGAGTTGGTTCTGTAAATGATCATGACATTCATGGTCTTAAAGTCTGCATTGTGTTTTCTTGACATTTTTCATTCTGCTGTTAGTTTGAAAGGTTTTAGTACCTTCATAACTCAATGATATCCAGCCTTCGTACCAGAACAAACACACTGGTGTTTTCAGACATACTCTCAAATAGACACAAAAACCAAGTAAGTTCAAGCTGTCCTGTCCTGAGAAGATCATCAAACAGGCAGGACAATGAAAATATCTCTATGGATGTGCAGGACTGATAAGAATCCGTTATTTACCTTAGCTTTTATATTTAATTCTCTTGTTAAACACTATGTGGGCCTCTTACAGCTAAAATGTTTGCAATAGTCAGTGCTAATAAATATTCTTTATATGTGCCAAGACAGACCAACCGCTGCTTGTCTCAAATCCTTCCCCCATCCCAGAATACAACAAGAAGAAATGCACACTTAGCTGCTAAATATGTGGCAATTAGCGTTTGCATTGAGAAACCAAGAAAAGCAAAGCGTAGTATTGTGTCTTGATTTCTGCATCGGTTCTTTCTGTCCAGAGTGGTTCTTGATGGGATTAGCGAGTGAACTAAATTCCTTTTACAGTTGATGATTCAACAGACGACAAATGAAGCTAAATACAATGAATGATTTAAGACCTACATCAAAAAAACAAATACGACACGGATTGGACAACTGTTGCACAACAACTATCCAGTAACTAAACTTTCCTTCAGAGTAAAACTTTTTTTTTGTTTTTACAGAAATGCTTTGAACTGTGTGGAGAATTTCAGAATAAAGCTGGAAAAATTCTGGAAATGTCTGACATACGTGCTAAGGCAAATATTAGCTCTCATTCTCCCATTTAGCAGCTACATCGACGCAAATGTCCAGAGAACACTGATATCTGATCACTATTCCTTATATCAGGCAACAGCTATTGAAGCTGATAAAAAATTAAAGGTGGTGTTAATTCAAATGTACCTGTGAAAATTAAAAGTCTAAAATAAACCACGGTGGTTTGAGCTGAGCGACCAACCCGTAAACCACTGTCCATGCACTTCACACAAATGACAGTCCAAATGTTTTTACAGTCATTTCTGTCACATTCGGCAGAACAACATTAACATGTAAACCCTCACTGGAGTCAATCAATGTTATTCAACCAAACATAAATCATAGTAAATTGTAGTAAACATGCAGACTATGTTAATTACCATTAGCCTGTAAGCATTTAAAACTGCATGTGAAGTGAAAACTTAAGTGCCTTAGGGCAACTTGTATTCATTTGTTTGAAGTGCACATACAGCTTCGTTACCTCCACCAAACAGGTTATGTTTTCACCCCCGTCTGTTTGTTTGCAAGAATAAACAAAAAAAGAGTGTGTGAAATTTGGTGCAGTTTGAGTTTAAGAGGACTGTTGGGCCTTGGTGGAGGTTTGTGCTTTACTGAGTCAGTGAACCTGTAACCAGAAGACCTGAGAGATGTGTGGGACGATGACGATGTTTTATCATTGCGTAGTGAAAAGGCAGTTTGTGGTACTTTAGGCTACATGTGGGGGAATCTGACTGTTCTTTGTGGAGTGGTTTTGTGGCATTGCAGTATTTCTCAGAAATCAAGCAGGATGAAGGCAGAAAGCCACAATTAAAACTTCTTATGGCCAAAACCTGGAGAAACTGGTCCTCGCCACGAACTCTGGGGGAAAGTATGAAGTAGCATATCTTGAAACAACAGCATATTAAGCTTTACTCTTCATTTGCTGATAACGTTATTGATAAACTGATATAAATCTTTGTATGTTCTCACTCCTGAAGTCATATTTGTGTGGGTCTTTCCTTCATGAGATAAAATTTGAATAAATGAATTTTGTCCGTTTGGATGTGGTCTGAGAAGAGATTCTGTTTATAGCATGACCATATTAGTGCCATTACGTAATGTCAGCATTGTAACTAATGAATAATTAATGATGTATCAAATGTGTCAACAATCAGCAAATAAACAGATTCCTCTGTATGTTTAATATACAAAGGCTTTAGGAGCATTTGTTTCCCTCTAAGATTGATTGTACCATCAATTCAATATCTAAGTCAGCACTTTTGTTTTAGCTCTGACAAGATAAAGGAGAGAATAAAAATGCAATTAGACAGGAAGTAACACATCTGTTTTGCATTTCAGGAAAATGGATTTGGCTTTCACTGTGTCATCTCACCATTCTACAGCAGAACAAGACCCAGCCATGACAGCCATAATCAGGGATGAAAACCGTAATGTTTAAGGGCAACATCTGATCACGAGTTGGTGGTCTAAGCCCACTTTTGAAAAAAGAACCTTGCTCCTCTATTCCATTAGCAGGAAGAGTAAAGTGAAAAGTGTCTCAGTGACTCCAGGACCCAGCTGCACAGTCTTTGAGTCCATTAAGAGTCTTTTGGTCCAGTAATATCACGCCCTGCTGAGGGCAGAGGCCAGTTACTAGGAGAGTTCCTGTGCTCGGTCATAATCTGTGATCAGGCCTTTGATATGCGACAATTTCTGATGGAGGTACTCGCATCGCTTCTTCTCTTCCCGATAACCAGGAAACTTCTAAAAAGGAAAAGAAGAAGCAGTGAGTTTTCAGTGACACCCAGTAAAATCCAACACGATGGGCCACAGGCAAGAACAGTTTCATATTCTTCTCATAAAACCTCTATTGTTGTTTTAATAAATAGTCAAATTAGATTCAGTAAACTTTCTTAAGCCTCCTTTTCACTGGTAAATCAAACAACACCCACTAACATCTGGCTTTTGTTTGCGATGGGAATGGACTCAATCAGCATTCATTCCCGGGTCGTGTGACTGTGCAGTCGCCGCAGGTTTTTAATCAGCTTTGGCTCCGATCAGCAGTGATGGAAATTTTGACACTCAAGAAAGTGTGCGGAGAAAGCTCCTCAGTTTTTGACGCGTTAATGAACATGACGCACCGGGGGTAAAACCAGAAAGGCAAACTCTTCTACTGGCAATGTGAAAAAAGTTAATCGCCTTTTTAACAGGTTTACCCGCATTTAAAATGTATTTATTTATTTATAAATAGCTGGAGTTAAAGCCTGATTTATGCCTCCATCTCATTTGTGAAATTTGGTTATGAACACATTTTTTTCTGCTAATTTTGGAGGAAGATTTCACTCACAATGATGAGACAAAAAGATGATACATTAACGTGTCTCATTAGACTAGTGATATATGGAATCATATAATGTTATACAGCTGTCAAAGCCATATCAGAAAAAAAGGAGGTATGAATTGACGTGAGGTTAAATGCCAAGTGTTTTGCCAAAGCAAAACAATCCATCACTGACAAGAGGGAGATTCAGGGGACATGACATATTAGATGATCATAGATTTGATTACAGGGGATGTTAGATGATCAGGGGCTTTTAACAGGATGTTTCCCTAAACAGCAAAAATCCTAATCTCACTTCAGTGAACTGACAATCTATGATGCACTGATGATCACACTAAGCTCAACAGAATATTAATACTACATGATATTTTGTATAATTTCACTTTTTCAGTAAAATTTCCAAATTCATTCATATTTAGTCATTCTTTTGGGAGAAGGGCAATTGGGCGCAGATTTTTTTAGAACATTGTAATACAAGAAAACTGTTGCATGTGTTCAATTACTTATATGTATGTGCCACTTAATATTTCTTTTATATGAGTGGTTCTTGCATTAGGCCTAGTGCATAGTGCCTGTTAGATGAAATAAGATTTAATTTAAATGTATTCTTACTTTTTTATACTTTCGGTACTTTTGTAGTATTTGGTCCTCCATAAGCTGAAAAGGTAAAAGAAGAGAAGGTGTTAGGTTGCAGTGATTCACGTGTGTGTGGTGTTTTGGTAGAAAGGGAGCAGCAGGTCTGTGGTCCAGAAAGTACCTTGTACTCTTGTGTCCCCGGGGAGAGAGTGTTGATCTTTGAGCCCAACTGAACAAACATCTCTGTGATGGCCCCGATCCGGTCATGAAGAGCTCTGTATTCATCGTACTCCGCACAGAAGTCGTCCTTGTACTGTTGACGCTGATCCAGTGCTTTAATGGTGCTGTATTTTCTGAAAAAGAGAGGAATACACAAGCTGTTTGAAATAGCAGATGCAATCTTCAGAAGCCAACTTGCCTTGCCAAGTCTTTCCAGTAGATGTCAGTGCAGACTGGTGGCATGAGAGGACTGACACGTCACTGGTTTAACAGCGTGATGTGTTGACCAGATGTATAAATGCAAAGCATAAGATCATTTGTTTTCTGAGTCATTCTCAGCTATGCTTTGTGACAGCTCATTTACACGTGTTTTATTTACCTTCTACTTATGTGAATGTTTTGAAGCTGAATCGAACCCTTTAGGGACGGCTCAGTGAGTTGGACACTGAAACCTAAAATCCTGAGCAACAGATGATTTCAACAACGATCATGTGAAGCCTATGACGTTGTTGCACTTTTTCAGATTCCACTCCTGAGGCAGAAATCCCTTTCTAAATCTGTGAATACATTTACACAGTCAGGAACATGATATGCATTTAATCTTACATTAAATAGTCAGGCAGCTCCTCTGCTGAGGTTCGATTGACAGGTGTTTTCTCTCCCTCGTGCTCTGTAGATAGGAAAAACACATGCACACACGTTGAGGGAAAAAAAGGTTAAAGCAATCAGCCAATGCAAATGCGATAATGTGCCCATAATATCAAGGCTGATGGAATCGTTTATCACTGTCTGTGATAAGAAATCTGATCCAAGGCGAGCTGTGACGTCAGCAGGCCAGAGTAGGAGACAATGCTGCCTGCTGACTCGCTCGACCGTAGGTCACCCAGCTGTTCTACAGTCAATCATCAACAGACTGGAGCTGGGAGGGTGGAGGGAGTGTTACAGTCCTAAGAGCACTGACTGCGCTCTCACTCAAAAACATAAATTGCTCTTTCTGAGCTTCCAGCAGCAACTATCACCCAGAGGATTTTTCCTTTTTGCTGAATAAAAGTCGATAATCTTCACGGCCTGAACACATAATATGAAACAGATTCATGAAAGCTCAATGCGATACATGAAATGTGGGAAAGCTTTTAAGGGAGGACAGTTTTATTGTTTTAATACCACTTACCTTTGAGATTTTCTTGTTTCTGCTTCAGGTCTGGACTGGTTTCAATCCACTCTGGTTTAAAGCGCTCTCGTTCCTTGTCTTTGTGCTTTTTAGACCTCTTCTTTTTATGTTGGCCATTAGTGAACTGTTGGTCAGTGCAAATGGAGGTGTCAGTGTGTGGGGGCTTGGGACTGGGAGCAGTAGGCGCTGGCTCAGTCCTCTCCGGTTTGGGAATAACAGACGACCCACTGAGTTTGTGCGGCGAGTACAGACCATTTGGGCTCCCCTGGAGATGATTGTTGGTTTTGTCGAAGTCCATTTTGATCTGTACAGAGTTTCCGTGACTAGAGGCGCTACGAGCCCCGTTGGTGCCGTAGTCTCCATGAGAGGGCGACCGCAGAGGCAAACACTGGTCAAATAGTCTTTGTTTTTTGGGGGTTTGACAGCTGGATGGGTCAGAGGGAAATGGGCGTTTCTAGAAGAAAAAATAAAACATCACACAGTGAGTGACTGGCCTCTATGTTTTATTTGAGTACAAATTACATGAAATATCTTTGTTTTCTTTCTTGCCAGCAGCTGTTAGCTTAGCTTTGCATAACCACTGCAAAATGTGAAACTGTTCAGATGTGACAACCTCCACCTGTAAACCAAATTACATCTTATTTGTTTACTATGTTTTGACAATTCACCACTTTACAAGGGGTCATTATAATTTTTCTGCCAGGGCCAGTAACTGCACAGAGTTTCTATTCGCTGTTGACAAACAGTCCTCGGCGAGAAATAATGTGGCACGTTACGTGAAATTAAGCTATATATAAATGAAAATATAAATTTACATTTATTTACAAGACAGAGTGGCATAAATCTTCCATATTCTATTCATTTCTGCAGAAAACTAAATAAATTATTTTCCCTTAATGTTAAACTATTCCTATTAAATCCGAGCTATGTTTACCTCCACCAAGAAGGTTATGTTTTCATATTATTTAAATGTCCATGTAATTTTGAAGCAGATCTGGATAATGGGCAGATCCGGAATTTTTGTTTATTTCAATTCTTTAACATGTCCAGATAGGCTGTTACCTTGGTGGGGGTAGGGCTCTCTGATTGACCTTGTAGTAAGTCTCAGGCAACTCAATTAATTTACAGAAATATGTTAAAAATAAAAATTCTTGTATTGTCTTTCTTACAAAAAAATGAAATAACTAATTTATTCTAACTTATAAGAAGAAGTGTGCAAAAGTAGGATTCTTTCAATACAAGGTGAATAATTACCACGGAAAGATTCTTGGCAGGACTGAGTTGTGAAGGAGAGTCCCCGAGAGTTTTGTGGAATGAGCTGTTGGACTGGGGGCTCTTCAGCTGGCTACTGTGCAGTGGCTGGAGTTTCCTGAAGAAAGATTAAGAACACAGCACCTTCAGTTAGACATAAATGGCATGTGAAGCTAAAAAGGAAGAGCCAGGTAGGTCATAAAACTCGCTCTGGCAGATTTATGAGCAAGTCGGAGAGCAATTATCTTTCATTTTGACACATCTTTCAGAGAGGAGCACAGATAGCAGCTTTTCTGCAGAAGAAATCATCATTGACATCTCAAAACTGTCAATCTTTTGATTTAATCAAAGGTTTTTGCATGTTTCTGTGATGTGTTTTGTTTTGTGGTGATATGATCTACAAGAGGCAGCCACAATGACTGAACACAGTCCAGTGAATATAACAATCGCAACAGATTTAACCTCTGTACGACCAAACCCTCTCTGTTAATCTGCTTCCTACAGCTCCTTCCTCAAGCAGACGCCACCACAAAAAACCACTCCCCTCACTGGATCCATGCAACCCTCTTAATCATTCAGTTAGGGTGAGTGGGGTTAGGGACCATTAAACATTGACATCAGACAGTAAATGACAGTAGCAAGAAAGTGTAGGAAGATCCTCCTCCAACATACACAATACAATTCAGGAAAGATATATATATAATTTATAGTACTTACAAGCTATCACTGTTTTTATCACTTGGCAAACAATTTAATGACTACAAGTTTAAGTATTTCACACTTAGCAGAGTGGTGAACAGACAGGGGTTGTGTAATCAGACCAAAACACTCATGAAGCACATGGCCTCCATGTTTACTGGCGGGCAAAGGAAACACATGAGTGGAAGACGCTTTGCTACTCTGAACACTTCCATGCTAATGCCATTTGGCACACACTGTGAAAGGAATATTTTTCCTCTGCTTTGATGTGTCCATTAGGAGATTTATCAGTGCAGAGACGGAGTCTTTTGGTAGCTCCTCTTTCAGCATGATCACGGAAGACGTCTACTTTAATTCACACATCTTTCTGTAGTAATGCCAGCACTGTCACAAAGCATCTGCCTGGGACTCCAAAAGACATTTAAAGCAATGTTTGACAATTTGGGGAATACAAATTCTTGCCAATAGATGAACTTATTTTTGAACTATAAATACAGTTAGCTTAGCTTAGAACAAAGACTGAAAACATAGAGAGGCAGCTAGCCTGATTCTGTCCAAAGGACAAAAAATATCCCAAAGAACACCCCCGAAGCTCACATATTAACTTCCTTATAGCTGCTTCAGGCAGGCATTGAACCCCAGAGATTTTTCTGAAATGTTCAAGTCAGTTGCTAAGGACATTTTCAAGAACTTTTCTGCCAGCTCTTAAAATTTCTGAATAAGGTCTGAGTGAGCCCATGGGACAATACAGCAGGAAAATATCCAGAAAATTGACAGTGAGCAAGTGGGCTAATGGAAAGAACAAAGAGAGTACAAAAATCTCCTGCCAATAAAAGAAAAATAGGTGTCTTACACGTAGACAACGCTGAGGAAGATGTCAACTTGGACAGACAACGACATTTGAGAGCTTTTGAAGATAAGGGCCAACGGTGGTGTCGGTGTGCTCAAACAAAGAAACACCTGTGATTTAATGTCCAGCCTCCTGAGAGTCAAATTTTCCTCATTTTTACAGTCTTTATGATTATATATGTATATGCATATTTCCCAAATAGTGAACTATAACTTAGTAATTTAAACATACCATTTTATTATACATCTCCATGTGTATCAATGGAACAACACAGAAATGATTATTTTGATATTGTGGTAAACTTAATACCAACCTGATCAGGAGCCTATGGATGAGTTGCTTCTCTTCTTCGAGATATCCAGGCCAGTCTCTCTGAATGTGTTTGTAGAGCTCATCCTTCAGAGAGTAACTGTGGTCTTTAGGGTTTTGTTTACCAACCTGAAAATGTCAACAGCTCACAATGTTAATATATCAACAGAAAGAGGACACAATACAACAGGAAAATAGGCCAGCTGAGGTTGTAAAAGCACCAAACCATGGTAACCTGCCATGCCGTAATGCCACTTTATATCTGAATAAAACAGGACCTGTTCGCCAATCAGTGGGTGTATATTGTCTCCTTGGTACACAGTTTAACCCCTGCCTTTATGCAACTTAATCCTGCTGATACAAATCTCGCCAAATCAACCACTTTCAATTCTGAAAGAAGGTAGGTCCCAGCTGGAGACACCCCACCCCTCTGCTGTCAAAACACAATCTTCTCCTCCAAAGATAACTAAAGCACAGCCCTAATTACAGCTACCAGCAGCGGCACAGTCTCCACTCGATGATTGCACAGACACACACACACTGTGAATACAGGAAAACTGCCTGAAATAACCTTACTAACCTGAGCTGTGCAGCTGTATTCTGTATATTAATCTTTAACAAATAAGCTAGTTAGGAACAAATTCATGTTCATAGTTTAAATCCTGATGCTAAAATCATCAAAATTTGCATTTCACACTTCCATTCTGGTATTTTCTTGTATTTGCTGTATCTGAGGCTATTTAATCATTAGTTAACAATGTGTTTACATAGCAATGTGCCAGATGTCTCACCTCATCCAGCACTGAGGTCAGGTCACTTTTGTCCTTTGGACTGGCCCGCTCCCTCTCCAACCACAGTAGCAGCTCAGGTTTCCTGTAGGGTTTTAAGGCCAGGAGGTGAATGATGCGATCCCTCAAGGGCCGGTGTGCAACGGCACTGGGAACCAAGCTCCTCTTGTTGCTGGGGGAGTGCTTGTTGCTGCTGTCTAAGCCTGATACCAGACCCTGCTTCCTCTGGACCTTCACATACTTACCTGAGATCAAAACAAGGGAAAAATGTCACATGAGTTTGGTAAATTTAAAGGTTACCACAGCAATAAATAAAGATGATTTATATGGGAAATGAATCTGCTAACAGGTTTCATTGTGTCCTGTAAAAGCACCAATAATTTATCATTGCTAATCCAGTCCTCAGGCCATTTATACAAATCACACTCGTATTTAAAAGACAAGCCTACACACGAAAGACAACCGATTAAATTTGATATCTCTCTATTGTCATGCAATCTGCTTTATGCAAACAAAACCGATGCAGCGGGTGTAGCACATTCAGATATATCTGGAGAAACAGTTTACACACCTACAGTAAATACCTTGAACATGGTATTGCTTGTGCACAAAGGCAGTGGTTCTGCAAGTGGAAAACAGTGAAAGGGGTTGACAGTGGGGTTAGCCGACTGCTGAGTAAACAGAGGAGAATGGAAACTAAAGCAAGTAAAACAGAGAGGCCCTTTCTCTCTGTTGCAGCACTACTTCAGGTCAGGCTATACCGTAGATATCTGCAGACTATAAACTCATTATAACTTTAAGCCACGCTTTGGAGGTTGCGATGGGTCAAATACCTTCAGCATTTTCACAAGGATAACATGTTGGACTTATCATATGTATCCAGAACATTTTGCAGTACAATAATAATGTTAAAACTATATTTACACTTACTGGAAGTACACTGTTTTAGTTTTAGCAATGTTCAATGTTCCTTGTGAGACTCATTTTGAATCTTAAAACCTTCAGAATGTTGCAGGCTTGCATGAGCTTGTTTCAACATTGGCTTTGAAGCAGGTCATGAAGATTTTGAGCAAATATCCTTCCTGCACTGAAACAACCTGCACTGCCACATTTCAAACATGCAGCAACTAGAGCCATTGTTTGCTGGTAATAAATAAGAGCAGCTTCAGGGAAGTGTAAGACTCAAGGAAGCCTGTGCGGAATGATACTTCCCATAATGACTGTGATGCCTCACTTCGGATAAATGGCATGGTTTTCAGTAATGTGGGCATGTTTATGAGCAATGAAATTCTATTAAAAATAGAAACCATTTGCAGAAATGAACAGGTATTTTACAGAGAAATAATTATATGACACAGATAAATGTATTCTTAAAGCAGCTGGTGAGATCAAAATACCATGGCCTTCTTTCCATCTGCTTGTTTTGTGACTGAAAAGTAAATCATACATTTTTATCTAAATTATGGACTTTTTGCTACTCTGAAACCTGTAATTGTGACTTGATATATGGAGATTTCTTCTTTGATGAGTAGAACATTTCTGTACAATAATAGTCAGTCCCCACAAAACAACTGTTGGCACATGCATGGTCCATAGACCATTCATTTCCGTCTCTGGTGTCCAGGAGAAGAGGCAGACAGTTTGATGGCTTGAAATCATTGTTCAAGTACAACAGGATATCTATCAACCTCTGCATGTTTAACAGGGAGCTCTCGTTTCTTTTATTAGATGCATTCATGTGCTGTACATGTTGAATGTATTTTGTAAAAGCCTCTTTGAGGCAAAACATAGTTCCAACAGTAAGTGCCCTAAATATAATGATGTGGATTGGTCCACACAGCCATTCTTAAATTAATCGACAAGTATTTTAAAGTGGGAACTCTAAATATCATGAAGCCCCATGGAAAGAAGAAGGGGGGCGAATAAAAAAAAAATGAATCGCAAGAGTGAGATCCACATTACTCCAGGTTAGGTGTGGAATTTCCCTTCTTTTAGACGTGATTTAGAAATTTTTTCTCAGATGATAAAGAATCTAATTTCTGTCAGTGTAATTACATTTTAGGCAAAACTTCATCTGTGTAAGATTTGTTGGGGCATATACAAAACTCAATCACATTAATAGTGCTGGCAGGCAAGCTGGCACAGTGCCTGAGCAATCTGGTCAGAATGAAAGGGAAATTACAAGAAAGAGAGGCATCCCTCGCACATAAATAATTGGTATGCAGCACTTTGATCAATTACGTGATAACTTCCAGACCATATGGCAATTATCAGCAGGATGACTCGGTGAGAGGCAATGGTTTAGAAGCTTTCTGGGTATGTACAAACTCTCTGTTTATCTGTCCTTGATCCCCACGTGTTCGAAGGCTGTCACGTAAGACTCGGGCTTGAAAATAAAACAACATGTAGTTACAGCCATTAGGCAAAAAGGCTTACTTGGCCCAGGCTTGATCTCAATTGCTGAGCGGCTCCAGATGTCCTTCTCCACCTGAGACATGCGCTCCCTGGTCGTCTGGTAGGAGTCGTCCGTGGCACAAACTGTGATCTTGTCCTGAATGCTGCCCTGGCCCTCCAGGTGATCCCTGCCCTCCCTGTGTGGAGGACGGAGGAGAAGGAGAGAAGACTTAAGAGTTTAATCTTTCAGATTGTCTGGCTTGGCTCAATTAACTGTCCTTTTGTCAAAATCCAAGCATTAGGGATTATTGCTGTCGTATGATGATATGTGGTGTTGTCTGACGCACATCGAAGTGGCTCTGTGACTCGGTTCTGCATGCACATTCTATTTCTGTTTCACACAGCTTCATTCTTAACAACAAGTGTGCTGTTATAAAGGCCAAGACTCCACCAGAAATAAAGCAGATCTAATGTTACTGTCTGAAACTACAAACACTACCTCTCTGTTCTCAATTATTACAGGTCACACCTCAGTGGTCAGTCATAACATTACAGCATTCAGGTGTTATTGTAGTCTTGTTTAACTTTGCCTGACAGTGGTGCAGTCTGTTGTTGTATTGAAGAGAGGCCATTGTTTGGTAAGGCCTTGTGGTCTGAGTCTCACACCAAATTTACTAAACATTCCATCTGTGGTCAGCTGTGGAAAGGCGTATGGATGCTTACCCTGAGACATACTGGTGAATGCAGTCGAAGCTGGACTGGGGCTTGTCCTTGCTGTCGCTGGATAGGTAGAAGGAGAAGACCCGGAATCCTTCTGGAGATTCAGGAGTCGGTGCCGGGATCTTTATGTACTATTAAAGACAAATCAAACAGGAAGTGTGAAGTTATAAGAAAGATTAGAAATATGAGAGAACTAAAAACTAACAGCCAGTCGGTTCTCCATTTGTGTTTACAAAACCCAAGTGATGCTAATTTTTAACTTTTGACAGTGTTGTGACATGCTTGAGTGTGTCTGCTAGCATTGTTAATTTTAGTGGTTTATTATGTAACAAGCAGGTTTGCCCTCTCCCACTTGTAGCCTGATCTGAATTTTACGTCACCTCAAAGTAGAAAAACACTTCTTCAAAATGAACAACCTTTATTGAAACTGAGAGGAGCGTTCTTGACATGCTGTTTTTGTTATCACGCCATAAATGTGACCTAAATACTCCACCGCTTGGGCCAATCACTGGAATTACAGGGGCGACATGGGACAACCCCATCCCCCACCCCCTCCCCAGGTCAGGAATGATGACCTGTAGCCAGTCACGAGAGGAGCCTGTCTGAACGGCAAAACATAACAATAGTATTAGCACTCAGCTTTTTCACTTGAGTGATAACCTCTCCTGTCACAGACTGTCCGTGTCTCCCAAGCAACAAACAGGTTGACAGGGTGAAGTCTCTCTCTCTCTCTCGTCAGAAACCGTTACATAAAATGACCCAAAAACCTACTTCCAATTAAAAAGGACAGATCAACATAGAAAGGCATTATCAGGTAATGTGTCCTTTAAAACACATTGGGTAGCTGCTCTTTTCTCCGCTGCCTGCAGCTGTGTTTCACCCTGAAAATGGACAGTTAACTTTTGTTGATAGAACGTCCTAGATTCGGAACACCAGATTCGGAACACCAAAGATTAGCCCTCGTCCTTTACAAGCATAACTACGTGCTCACTGATGAGTAACACTTGATTCGAGATTTCTGCAACAGCTCAAATCGTAACAACTTTTTGTCTATGTAGGAGATGTGTTACCACCTCAGGCCTCGAAGCATACTGGCGATTTTAACTGCGGGTCTGGAGAAAACCAATAGTCAGTCCAATGGACTTGACTCTTTAGTTATCGTTAGTGATTGATTATAAGCTGCTGGGCTGAGAGCGCATTGCCCCTGGCAGATATGGCACGCAGGACTATAGCTGTCACAAATGCCCAGTCATGCAGCAAAGCCATAAGCAGTTTTTTTTCAGCACAGAGCCAATGAACAATTCCTTTTTTCTCCAAAACCCCTCCTCCTCTTCGAAAACTCAACGCCTGCCGTCCACCCTGCCCCCATCAGCCTCCAGCTTTTCCTTCATGTGCACAAGCCCACCCATGTCAGCATAAAACACAAAGCAGCCCACAAGGCCATGGACACTTGAGGAACACAGCTGACCATTAATTCTGCCCTATTTATGTCTGACCGTTCACATGAAGTGGTGAGGCAGAGCCATGCATATGTCTGCTTTGGGTTTTTAAACTAATTAGGAACAATCACTCAAAAGAGCATCAAAGTGAGCGTGGAGAAGAGGCGAGCCATGTCCTCAGGGCCTATTACTTTTAAATGAGAAAGTAGTAGCCGCGTTGACCAAAATTACAAGTCACAAAAAGCAGCATGCAGAAGAAATGCATTTGAATTTGTTTTTAAAGTGAAAGCCCTGCTAAACAAAGCCCAGCAAATACAAGTGCATATTTACACATTTAGCATTGCAATACCGCCACCACGTCTCCTCTTTCAGTCGATGACAGCGGTATGGGCCCCCTTCAGCCATGCATTATTTTTGCTTGTCACCCCCATCCATGCCACTGTGCACACTTCACATTCTGATTCTAATCAATGTCACTCAGGTCAGACTGTTCAGGGGTCGCCCCCCATTTTATTCACAGCTTCCTTCTCAAGCTTCATAACCGTCATTTAACCCATTTGCTCCCAGCGCCTGACTTCCAGAGGAGGAGCCTCTCTGTCTCACCGCGGGATCACAAATGTAGCCATCAAAGTGTTGAACAAAAACAACTCAGCTTGGTAGTTTGAAACTACCTAACCATCTAGCTTAGCTTTGTAAGAAGAAGTGAATACAAGTGAGGAAAACTTGCCTAGCTTTGTCTGATACTAACAAAAATCTCAAAAGCTATCCCTATCTCATTTGTTTAATCCACACAAAGCCAAAATGCCCCAAATTACTGTCCTACTGTGCTATGTAACTGCTGATAAACAGTGGCTGCTATGAGATAGCAGATGATGCTATAAGACAGTGTAATGTTCAACAAACTGAGTCAGTAAAGCTGCTTTCAGTCACACACTGGAGTCCGGACATTTTATTGAAATTTGCCAGATGGACTCCGGACATTTTTTGGAACACTACTGCCAGTCCCCTACTAAAATGTCTGGAAAAGTCTGCCAGTGTGACAATATCACAGAAAAGTGTCCAGATAATTCCCAGTGAATGAGTAGGCATATTGGTGATGTTTCAAACATGCACAGGATGCAAAAGTGAAAAAACAAGTAAATAAATATAAATATCTCAGGAGGAGCCATACTAATAGAACAGACCAACAAAGATGTTGGAAAGACACAAGATTCAAGAGCTTCAGGTGACAAGGGCTGATGACAGTGTCGATGTGCTGTAAACAGAAACTCTGTTCTACCCAGACACATCTTCTTGCCTAAATGTTCTGGACATTTTTCCATTGTTTTGAATACGCCTGACCCGGACAATCTCCTGCTGCACTCTTCATACGATAAAGGAAACCTCTGGGAAATGTTTGGAAATTTGAAAACGGCTCAACTGAGTAACTGAAATGTAATATCTCTCCTAAGTTTCATTATATTAGCTATTGTTAGCCACCATATGGTACTGATCATACTATACCAGTAGCAAAGCCTCCTCTAAACTTTTGAGAGTTTTATTTTAAATGCTACATATATAGACTGGCTTTGATAGTCAAAATAAGATCTATGTGAGCTGTTAAACAAGGGGCAGGATTCTTTGGTTAAAATGTGTCATGTTTTAAATGAGATATTATTTTATCCCTGGCTGTGGTGAAACACTGTTGTTTACTTTAGTTTGAGAATCTTTTCCTACTCTGCAATCAATCCTTTGATAGATAATGCCATTGCTTTGTTTCACTTTAGGTAATGTCCATGATCACATTACCCAGTCAGTCATTGACATTTTCGCAGCACACAAACATCAAAAAGAACTAACTCAACAACTTTTCCATAGCCAGACCAGAAGGTTACAGATGACGGCTTTTAGCGGTGACTAATCATCACAGCCAATTTTATGTCCTTTTCATCATCATCCCACCAAGAGGCCTGATGAAATTAACTATGAGGCATGATGTGCTCAGTCAGTGACACAACTTGTGCCAAAAGGACTGTGATCCTGGAGCTTCTGTCACTCAAGCAGTAGGTGTAGATTTACATAGAGACGCTGACTCATAGACCTCTCTACATGGAGCTTATCCCCTGAGGTTCTGTGTGTGTGTGTGTGTGTGTGTGTGTGTGTTTTACTGCTTCTTCTTTTTTTAGGAGGAGAAAGCTTCACAACTACCAGAGGTCACATGCAGGAATCAAGGTCAAATATCCCTCAAGTTACACTGCTAGATGTTATACCTACATTCAAATAATATTTATATGCACATTGATCATTCTGGCACAAAATGAGACAAAACTTATGATAAGCTAAATGCTATCAAAGAATGCCCCAAAACGTATTCTTTTAATTTAGAAAAATACAATATAATTGTGTATATATATTTAAATCTCTTATAATTTGAATTTGCTACTCCTGCAGAGACAACTATTAACTCCAAATTATTTGTCCAGCTGGGTATGAGGGGAATAATTAATTTAATTGCTTATGCTCCATAGTATTTTAATTATGATTGTATGCTGCATTTAATCTTATGATTATTAGTCAGAGAAAGGCTTAATGGGGTATTATCATCATAGTGTGCTATTAAAATGAACACGTGTCAGTTAATGAAATCGTGCAACGTCATGAACACACAGCAGTGAGAGATGTGTGCACTAATGCTTCTCATTACAATGGTATGAATAAGGCCGTTGGACAGTTACAGTCAGAGCCACATGGCAGAACAGCAATCCTTAGCACCTTGTCAGTGCAGACCCCCATGGAGCGTACAGGCTGATACAATAACTGCCTCTGTGGCCTTGGCCCAGCCACATCTGCTCCTCCAGGCCCTGGGTGTTTGGAGATGTCAAATACTTTCAAGCTGTTGTAAGGTGTGAACTGGACTGGAACAGAAAATCCCAGCAGGGGGCTCAGCGTTTGAACAAGGACAAAAGGCTGTATCGGTGACGTCCTTAGCAAAACTTTATCTTTTTAACACCATCAGTGTGTTAAAAACTGAGGTTAAACAGAGTTCATAGCGCTTCTATTTTGTGAGGCAGGAGAAATAACTTTAAAAGTGCAAACCAAACATCTGCTTGGAAAGATGAGCCTATAGTTTCTTTCTGTGTCTCTCTTTCTCTTTGCTCTGCAGACGAAAGCAAGAAGGCAGGGTTCCCAGCTCTGGTATTTGGCATGGCAGAACTGGGATGGAAGCAGGCGCCTGGATATGTGATTTACTCTCAAGTCTTTGCCTCTTGCCTCTGTCTCTGACAGTAGTTACCATTGTCTTCTCATCTGAGCCTACTCAGCCATAGCTGCTCTACGAGCTGCCCGTCTTTTGTTCTAGCTTCTTCCCCCACAAAGCTGAGTGCAATGGCCCGTCGGCCCGCCTGGATTATTCATGAACAGCAGGGACGTGTGGCTGTGTGTGTTGGGGGGTATTGGGGGTTTGGGTGTGTGTGTGCGTGTGTATGGAGGGGAGGGGGGTCGGCAGTGGCTCCCAGTAGAGCCACTACATGAGGGGTTGTCCTAAATTGTCTTCCTTTAGGAATGTGCAGCTCAGTCGAGAGGAGAGGGTAGGATTCCCCTGACTAGAGCAAGTGTATTTGTCCCCGATTCACCCTTTATTTCTGTTGCAAATTTGACCTCATGCATCACATAACAGACTCTACAAGTTGAGGTTTCAGCCTGAGAGAGGACAA